ATAATAATCTGAACAATACAACGACTCACCGAAATCTGATAAAGACTCAACAGGACGGTAATCGGGGAAGGGCCATCAATCCTCCATCCCCACACTGCATCGAAAGGACGCACACAAATTCAACAACATTCTCATTCTTTAATAGTTTTTTCTTGTCTCCACCAAATGAAACTAACACAGGATTTGCATAAAACAGAAGAAAATTTTGTTGGAGATTCCGATTCCTGTTCGGCAAGATACGTAGCGAGTTTGTGTTTGGGGATGACCAGTCCATATGTTTTGCTTGCAGTTTCATTTGTGACTCAATTTTCATGCCTGGCCTTGTGTTGCCTCGCTTTCGGTGCCTGAATTGCCGTGTTACCCAGCTTGGAATGTTCAAACCCTAATGCCGGAACCTCTGCCCAAACCCTATTACTGAAAGTGTTCCATGTAATGGCATTTGTAGCAAGATTTTGATTTCCATTCTCTCAGTTCTTTGACGATGGTGTTCTGCGATGATGTTTGATAATTGCCATGGCCTTGTCGCTAGTTTTGTTGCAGATAAAACAGGAGGAAGGGGGAGAGAGATTATAGTCATACTGTTCTGAATTTATTTTTTAAAAAATTTCAAGCAGAAGCTTGGAGAAATCTGCAGAAAATTTGTTTCAAGATTCGATTTCGATTTCGATTCTTTGTTCAAAACCACGAAAAAAAAAACAAAACAATTTTTAAATAGTCAATTTTGAAATTTAAAAAACATGCTATGACATCAGCTTTTTTAATATTTAATATTTTAAAACAGACTATCCAATGAAAAATTGCAAAGTAACGATAATATTACAATGATATAAACTTGACAGAATGTGTTAAATCCAAATCATTGTTTTTAAAGCTATAATCTAAATACACCAGCTACACAGAACATGTAACCATGCTTTTATTTTAGTTGTCATTACAAAACTAACGTCATTTGACAACATTCTTGCATACATTAAAATTCTAACCATTAAAAAAAAATTGTTTAAAAGAGCACAAAGTTTATAATTTTGAATTGATTCAACACCCGTACCCTCTAAATTTCCATAAGGAGGGATGGGGAAAAGTGGACAGGACCCCCAAAATCATGAAAAATAGATAACGTTCATCGACCCCAGTGCGAGCTTAGCAAATCTGTCATGCCGTGCCCCTTCCAACACCCCCTGTGGATTGTGTAATCACAGAATACTTTATTTACAATTAGTCTAAAGTGAACCCAAAGTAGTCACTGAACACGAAGAATGGCCTGGACAGAGTGGACTTGCGGAGTCTACCAGCATATTTTATGTAAAGGAAACTTCTAGATAGATTCTTACCTGCATCGTGCTATCTTTGCAGCCAATTGGGGCGCCTCCGAGTGCCTGGGTCCATTCAATTTACACAACAACCCCTTGATCCATGGCGAGTAAAGTTATGGGGCTGCTCGTAACGCTCGAGCAATGAAGTGGCCGCGGTGACCGAGTGTCAGTCATCAATCTCTACCCTTCATGGACTTCATGTGGGGCGATCTGTCGGCCGATAAATCCGTCGGTCTATTGATTCCATGCCAAAATGAAGAGCATCTTGTACGATACCGCAAGGCACCCTCCAGCTTTCGACCGGTGCTTTACCCCGCGCATCGACCGGGTGCTCCGTTACCGAGTGCCACATTTCCGCACAGGGCCATGTGCGAATACGAGACGCAGGCTCGCGAAACACGGTTCCCTCGTTCTCACAATTCATTCTGCCACCCCTGCATCTTGTAGAATTGAATGCCGCAAGCGCAGCAGAGTGTTTACCTGCCCGCCTTTAGGCATAGGATTCACACCATGAGTGACATGAACATTGCATAGGCAATGCTGGCAACACAACTTGTTGGATTGAGTTTGATCGTCGTATCCGGCGGTTCCAGATTGGTTCGTTCCGCACATGACACAATTGATTGTGGTGGGTCATCTTCAAGTGTTCACAACATTATTCTAGCGAGTTAGTACGTCGCAAGATAATTACGCCTGTCTATGCATGGAAGAGCCTGAGGAGCCGAAGTGAACGATTTGTAAGCAGGGAATTCGTAGCTTCCATCTAAGTTAATGTGTCCAATAATTATCACCGGTACTTTCCATCAAGAATTGAACTGCAGTATTGCAATCTAGTAGTTGCTCGAAAATTTCTCTCGTGAAGCTGGTGACGTTTATCCTGACAGCAATGTCATTAAATATCAACTAAGGTTGATGTTACAAATATCCTGATTCTATGAAATCCAGCTAGTCGTCACTGATCACTCCGGAAAAGGAGTCATCCATCACGTTCAGTTAGCGGGCACTTCCCACCAAATCCATAGACGTTTGCAAATGAAAGGGTTGGATTCTTCGATTTCTAAGCTTCCAAGTAACGCGTCACTTCCGCAACCCAATCACCTGTAATCAACTTAATAAGATGTCATTGAGAAAGGTTCATGATGGCGGTGCATTTTTCAAGAAACGCAGTAAGTCGCCATGTCAGAAAAATTCAACGAAATCAGTGAGACGTATGGCATTTTACCTGTTGTGCATTCTGTACAAAATCCGCGGCAAAACTTTCATCTATAGAGCTCCAAGTCCCGAAACGTGTCAGTGATATTGCGGAGACTTTGAGTGGGGTGGATTTTATTAATATGTAGTCACATATCACCAAGGGTTTAGAAAGTCGAACCTCCTTGGAAACCCATTCTGTGAAACCTAGCCCCCAAAAGACACCCAGGACTTCAGGGTTGAAGACCGCGAACCAGGACACAGGTTTCTATTGAAAGAAAACTCTGCCAATCGATGACCGTCGTGGCCACTTTCTCTCTCTCTGTCTCTGTATAAATAAGCCTGTGCCTGTGCCTGTGCCTACACCTGGAAAATGGATTGAATTTAAACTTCAACTGCAGGCGGGGGGGTTGGAGATTGATTGGGTGCGGGCAATGGGAGCTTTAACGCTGCTCGAGGAGAGCCTGGCAGGCTAATCAAGAGTCAGATGATTCAGTGTTGGGCTGCCAAGGTCTTGAACCCCCAGTCGACGGCTCGCCCGCCAAGCTTCTCTGCAAGCGGACAGACAGAAGAAGAGCCACACAGAGCGCGCGAGCGAGAGACGTAGAGAAAGGCCCCTTCACCCTTCCCCGCCATCGCCTCGATTTCTCGGCAATCAAAGCAAGTGTCGCACATGTCATCGAAGAGAAGCTAAACCCTAAGTCCAAGTTGGAGGGGATGACCTCATTCTGTTGCATGTTAGCTTAAATGTTTGCTTGGGAATAGAATAAAATTGGGATGGGACAAAAAGAAATTTGATTGTTTGATATAATATCTTTTAGGTTCATAGTGGAGAAGGTTACGTGTATAATTCCGCAGACTTAATCAACATGTAGTACACAAGTTCTTTATGTTGTGTACTGCATGTTGGTCATCCCCTCCAACTTGGAATTAGGATCTAAGACCAACCTCATGTAAGATACACATGAATTATGTGGAGAAGATGAATTCTATTGTGTGTTAATAAATGGAAGTTGTAAACATAGGATTTGACATGGAATCTATGTATGATTCAAATTGTATGTTGAAAAAATGGCAATGTTGTGTTGTGCATTGGAATGATTATGATAACATTATTATTTTGGTAAAAAAATGTTCATATAAACATAATTATTGTAATAAAAAGATGTGTTTGTAAAATAGATGTTGCTCTTAAGTTATTAGAGAAGTAAATAAATAAAAATAAAAAACATGGTTATTATTGCCAATAATAAAGTGGTTTTGAGTTCAATAAGTATTATGAGGTATATAAAACATTAGAAAATAATTTCATTAGATTGAACAAGTTGTTTGTAAGTAAAGTATAAGATGTTTTCACTTTTCTTTTTTGATATTCACAAGCTTTGATTATGAATTGCAAAAATTCCCTCTATTGCCATATCAAACATTTTGTAATAAAAGATCACATCTATCAATGAATATTATCTTATATACTCTGATCCCAATCTTTTCAGGAATAAATTAATACAAATGAGGGCATCGTAAGAACATTATTTACTTAAAAAAATGTCAAAACCAGAAAATAAATAATATCTATACATATATATATATATATCACAAGATTTATTTGAACACAAAATTGATCATACTTATACATCTACTTGCATCAATTGATTGAAATATGCTAACACATGACACAACTTCTAAGTAAAAGTTGCCACAAATTAGCTTCTTGTTTGTTACTATGTACCACATGTAGTATAATTTTTTAAAAGAAAAAAGAAAAGATACATTTTTACTTTTTATTGCACCTTCCAGTCTAAACATGCACAGTTAAACTACAATCATAAAAACAACACAGGTACAAATTACCATGTACATCACCTCAATTCTTAACCTCTCTTCTTCTTCTTCTTCTTCATCTTTTCATGCTGTTGCTGTTACTGTTGTTATTTACATCACTATCCTCTTTTTTCTTTTTTTCTTTTTTTTATCATTTAAAAAAAAGATGAATTGGACCATGTACATCCAAATCACAAACCAATGAACCAGGCACACTTATGAACAGGCCACAGTACATTCACATTCACACACACACACACACACACTCATTCTCTCATTCTCACACACACAGTCTAACTCATGTGGCTCAATCAATATATGTATATTTTTCCTCCCATGCAGCCATGAAGAGGCCCCATTCAAATTTCCACAAACTGGGAGCCCCTTCCAAGGCTAAATGCTACAAACTAGGGTTTTGTCGCCTAATGGGATTGACTGCCTGTCTGAGAGTGAGAGGGCCCCATGAACCCCCCAACACCACGCTCCCGGGAGCGTGCTGGCGTTGGATCCACCGTTTGAATAAAACCAGGGGGGGGGGGTTTGGAAGTGTGGGAGCCACGCTGACAAGCCCAAATTCAAAATGGCGGGCGCGGGCTAATCCCGCTTTCATGGGATTTGAACACCACCTAACAGCAGCCCAGCCCCGCCTTCGCACTACTGCCGTGCCTTTCGCAGGCCCAGGCCCCCGCCAGGCCAGCCAAGCAGCGCCCGCCTCCGCCACCACAAAGGAACAGCCTCTGCCTCCTCCATCTCTGCTCTGCGCTGCCTGCACGTCTATTTGACTCCGATCTCTGAATTTCATTTCCGATCTGCCTGCAACGCAACAGAGACGACGACTTAGAACGGACACTCCCACAATCATCTTCCGGTGCTTCTTAAAACCTCACTTCACCCGCCCGCTTCCCTTGATTCTCCCCTTCCAGGTGGCCAGCCTTACTGCTACTCTTCACTTCTTGTTCGAGGCTATATCAACCAAGAAAGCTTCTCGGAGAGAGAAAGAGATTGAGAGAGATACACACACAAGCAGGACGTTGAGGGAGACGATTCATTGTTGCGCTGTTCATGAAAAGAAAGAGTTCCTTGTTGAGATCCTTTTGCAACCGGAGCTACATTGCGTGGACGTGCGCGTCCGCTGGAGTTTCTCTTTTCTTTTCATCGAGTTTCTTCTGGGAAGCAGTGTTGCATCCGTTGCACTGGACGTCGAGGAGCTCTGCCGATTCATTTGTGTTTGTTCCAAGGAGTTCCAAGGAGCTCCGCGGAGAAGTCTGTGGTAATACCGAGGAGGCATGAATTGATCCTCCGTGGAATTTCGGCAGCTGCTATGGTCGGGTTCTAATTGCCAGGCGCTGAGTGGCTCGTATCAGGGGATTGCGTTGGAGTTGCGGTCGCTGCCTCGTCCACATTGGTCATATTCTGTTCCCGATTTGCACAACCAGATGTAACTTGGCCACAATTGATTTAGCTCCATCTTTCTTGCTGAGAGGTTGGTATGGTGGTACTGCCGTGGGTACCGCAACAACACGTGAGAGTCCTGAGTCGCGCGTGAAAGGCAACGATACTGCGGGCTCTTTATATGTATCAGACTTTGTACCGAGTTGGAAGTTCTTTGATAGCCCGATGAGAGATACAAGCCATTGTCGATTATAAATGTGCTTCCACACCATCCTTTGCTGCAGCTGGGATGTCATCGATGACATCGCATAGTCTCAATGCCGCGGGATTTGTTTTCACTGACGAGTGTCGAAGAAAAAGCCTGGAGTAATTAAATCGGTGGAAATTTGCGCTACCTGCGGATGTTTTGCGTAGCATTTGTGGTCGATTACCAAGGCTCCGCAGTTGAGACGAATCCAGCGTATCAATTATCCCATACGTCGAATCTCGAGGTGAGCGCACGAGGGTCGAAGTGAGGCGCCAACCCCAAGTTCGTCATGTGTGCTTTGTCGTAGTCCGTCGGTGCTCCAATACCTGTCCTGCGCACGCCTGTGCTAAGGTTGAGAATGACAGGTGGAGTGGAGAGTGCAAGGCGGTTGCGGCCGCGTTCTTGCAGCTCCATATCGGGCAAATGCTTGGATGAAGTGAGGCAGACTAGAGCAGCAGCCAAACGATCTGCCATGGAGGAAACCGCTTCGAAACCTGGAAGTAGTGCAGTGCACCCTAGGAAGCGAGCCGGCATGCAGCCGGTGAGGAAGCGTGCTGCCCTGTCGAACATCACGAATCAACAGAGTGTTGTTCAGTGCGTGGGTCCCGGGAACGGGACGGTGGACGTGAGGGTTGTGGGATTGAAAGCTGATCAGGAGTGCCGAGGAGATGAGAATGCGCATCCTGGAATCCCAGCGCAAGGGGCCGGTGAAGGGAAGGGACAGGGGGCGTCGTTGGATTGCGAAGCCGAGTGTGGTCCAAGGAGTAACTCGGAAGCGGTGGCCTCTTTGGAAAGGCGAACTGTGCAAAACCTGCACATATCTCAGGAGGCTAAGGATCGGGTGAAGCAAGGTAGGGGCGTGAGGGCAGGCAGGGTTGTGATTGCATCGTGGGTGTGAATACGATAGCAGCGGGTGGGTCCGATTGGGGTCCCCGCGAGAGTGATTGTGTGTGGGAACTGATGGTGTGGTGGGCGATTGTTGAGCAGGGGACCTTTTCAGCGACAAGAGCTGCTCAGAAACATCGGAGTGGTCGAGCGGGGAGCTCTGCTATGAAGACATCGACAATGATCATTGTGACCCTCAAATGTGCAGCAGTTACGCCACAGATATTTATGAGCATCTGCGTATGGCTGAGGTGAGAGGTGAAGCCCCGGGATTGTGGAGGGTGAGTAGAGTCCAGCGTGCAGGCGAAAGTGCGGAGCGGCGGGGCAATGCATGTCGGGTTGGCAGTCCATGCGGTGGGAGAGGCGCATGACTGACGTGCAGCGGTGATGGATGTGCAGATGAAAAGGCGACCGTCGGCGAACTTCATGGAGTCAATTCAGCAGGACGTGAATCCGACGATGAGAGGGATCCTGGTAGATTGGCTGGTGGAGGTGCGGCATGTGAGAATGGTGTTGTGATGGGGATTTGATTGGGGGTGCGTTTTGGCGGTGGGAGGTATAGTGGATGTTGAACGAAGCGTATGGCAGGCGTGAGTGTGACATGAGAATGCGTTGGCGATGCGCAGGTTGCCGGAGAATACAGATTGGTTCCCGACACGCTGTACTTGGCGGTGTCGTACATCGATCGATATCTTTCTGCACAAGTGGTGACCCGACAACGGCTTCAGCTGCTGGGTGTGGCTTGCATGCTGATTGCTGCGTGAGTGACGTGTTGGGTTTTGCGTTTCCGGTGATGAGCGGTGGGGTGCAATCGAGTTGGGAGTGAATCGAGTTGAGGGCGTGGATGGGTTGATTGGTTGGCGTCGTAGTGTGCTGAGGTTGTGCGGGTTTGGTGTTTCCAGGAAATACGAAGAGATATGCGCTCCCCAGGTGGAGGAGTTTTGCTACATTACGGACAGCACGTACTGCCGGGAAGAGGTGGGGCCTGTGAAGTGGTGATGTGAGATGGTGGTGGATGGTTGGTGGCGTGCAGATAGGGGGATTGAACGTGCGATGTGTGTGCGTGCGTGCAGGTGTTGGAAATGGAGAGGGGGGTGCTGAACGTGCTGAAGTTCGAGCTGACGACTCCGACGACGAAGAGTTTTCTGAGGCGGTTCGTGAGAGCGGCCCAAGCAAGCTGCAAGGGTCCGAGTCTGGTTCTGGAGTTTTTGGGGAACTACCTGGCTGAGCTGACCCTGGTGGAGTACGGATTCTTGCCATTCCTTCCTTCCATGATAGCGGCGTCTGCGGTGTATCTAGCCAAGTTGACTCTGGACTCGTCGACATGTCCGTGGGATGCGACGTTGCAACACTACACGGGGTACAGGCCATGGGAACTGGAGCGTTGTGTGCGAGCCATGCATGAGCTGCAGCGGAACACGAAGAGCTGTTCCCTTCCTGCCGTTCGGGAGAAGTACCGACAGCACAAGGTGAGTTGTGAGCGGAGGCCGCGAGGGCGGTGAAGGGATGGGGGGAAACGGATGCATTCATGTGTTGGCAATGGTGGTGAGTGAGGTGGGGAGTGTGTTGACTTGTCTGACTGGAGGGTGTCGGGGGTGTCGCAGTTCAAGTGCGTGGCAACGCTGGTTCCACCCGCCGCTCTCACAGTGGAACACTTCAGGGAGCTGGAATGAGGAGCGGTGGATGGTAGCCCAGTCGGTCGGCGGTGCGAGTGAACGAGCGAGGAAACAGGCACGAAGAGCGCGGTCGGGGCGCAAAGCGACAAGAAAAGTGGAATGCAAGGCTGCGGAGGCCCTGATGAAGGAAAGCTGCGGTGGGCGCTGGCATTGAGCTCCGTGCAGGCGTCGAACGGGAGCCCTGGAGTGGAAAGAGTGATGATGAGGGCGAGGCTTCCTGGTGATTCAGTTGGGCGTATGATAGTGAAACCTGTGGACGCGGGCTTGGAAAGCTGTGATTGTCGAGGGATGACACGATGGTTGTGGAGGGCATGGGTAGTGCACATGGCGCGCGAGTGCAATCCAGGGTGAGGCATGGCAGATGGGTGGATGAGTATGGGGTCGTGCAATTGGGCACGGGTGTGGTTGCACGGGGAACGATGGCGTCGGGAGGGTGGTGCGGTCGTAGCACATGAGATGGAAAGGTCTGATTGTAAAAGCATGTAAACTGATGGGGGTGCAGTTGAGGAGGGGTTTTGAAGCGGGAAACGAAGCAGCATTCGACGTTGGAATGAACCGGGGTGGAGTATTGGGGGCGGCAGGCTGAGCAAGTGTAGAGGTTAGCGGTTGGATTGGAGTGGGGGTGGGGGTGGGTGTGGGGGTGGAGGTGGGGCGCAGGTCGAGAGTTGATGAAGGGCATTCATGGTGTAGGCGGCGCACTTCTTGTGTGGTGCGAGATGATGACAGGAAGGGTTAAGTTGGATTGACTGTTTGTTTGAGAAGAGAGTTGTAAGATATAGTCAGGTCTGGTGCCCTGTTAGTGAAGGGTGTTGATTGAGGAGGAATGTCGTTCTTATGATGGATGTGAAAGGGAGCAGTCTCTCATGTCACATCTTGCATGAGGGTAAATCATGAGTTGCAGGTTATTTTGTACAATGTTTGAGTGCGGTATGTGTCATGTATATGAGTAGTATGTTATGGAATTGATTTTAAAGTGGGTTGTCTAAAGTGACTGCGGAACTTACTTAAGTAAAGAAGTTGGGTACTTAGAACAATGGTATGGCTTAATCGATATTGGAAGTTTAGTGGATCCAAAATTTCAAGTATGTCTGATTATGTGAATTTCTGAACGGAAGTATGTTTTCTTCTTTTCTTCTTGGAGTTGTTTATATTGTGTTTTTGATTTGTTAAACATGGTAGTTGTTTTTAAGCAGTTAGGGTAATGTCTTAATAAATAATGTCCTTGTTTTTGTCCATCTGTTTTTTGTCGTTATTGTATAAAATTGAGAATGTGCCCAGTAGAAACAAATCTTGCCACAGATGATATGCCTGAACAATAATATGAAAATTTGTTTATGTGCCATGTATTTTTTAACTACCTAAGCTTAGTGGATTTCAATGAGGGGTTAAAGAAATAGTCAAGTTGTGTTTTATGGTATGGTCTAGGGCTTTGCTACATTGTACAGGTACTCCGGTATTATTTTATATTTACAAAATCTTCATAGGTTTTTGAGAATTTACTAACCAAGGTTTTTTGAAATCCTCTCTCTGAGTGTTAAATAACAACTTACGGTCTAATTTTGCTTGATACAAGGCATAGATTGTTCATTATGCACTAAATTTAATCGAAGGCATTTTTTGGAATAAAACATAAACTTCATACTATATAAAATGACAGATATGTATTTTAGAACATGCAAATGTGTGCAATATAGTTATCTATGAATTTGTAATCAGGGATGTGGAGCTTGATAATGAAGATAAATTTCTCATTTTACTGATATTGTTGTGTGTGTCACTTGATCAACTTGTGACAACTATGTTATAGACAAGTTATACAAAAGATCCTAAAGATGCCATTGCAGTTCTATGTTCTAATGAAATAAGAAAGAGCTGATGCATTCAGTTTAACCATTTGTAGTCACTAGACAATAGGTAAAAAGGTAAATTGATAAGATCAAAGACTGAGCAAAGGTAAATTGATAAGATCAAAGAATGAGCAAAGGCAAGTTATGATTTAGATGAAAATAAAAGATAATTCATGAATCCAATAAAAAATCTAGCAAATAGACTATCAAATTCAAGTCCTTTTATTATTAAAGACATTACTTATTAAATAAGATTACAAAGAAAAAAAAAATAGCCCAAAGCAAGGATGAAAATTAGTCAATGATGATACAAGTAATTTAATTAGAAACTATGTTTTTGTAATGATCACAAGTAATGAATAAATTTTTAGTGGATAAATTCTTAATTATAAATGAACCTGGTAAATGTAACCTTGTAAAGATTTGTTTCATTGTGACAAACCACACAATGACTTGTGATGGAAAAATAGTCTTAATAAAAAATGGCATGGATCTAAACACAATCAGGACAAATTTGATAAATATTAAAATATTTAATGGTTTAAATATAATCTTCCATAAGTTTAGATTCTTTTTTTGTTTCGAAGAATGATTTTTGTCTTGGTTTATACTATAGATTCATAATGTTTTAAATATAATGTAAAATTGCTCTTAATAGTTGTACATCCATTGTTTCACTTGTAAAAACTTTGTGTAACAATGCATATCAATTTACTTATAAATGTGATGGCAAGAACAAAATAAACTCTTATTTTTTTGCACATGCTAAATATGTTTAATTAACAAAGAAATATTGTTCTTCTATTGTTATGGATTGTACATATAAAATAAATCAATTAAAAATTCATAATTGCATGTAGTGAGAACAAATAATTCTAAAATCTCTTTTACATATGTTGATGTTTTTTCTAAGAGAAATCAAAATTGTTCTTCATTGGTCTTGTTCCAACTTGTCTAGTTGTATAAAAATATCCAACTCATTTGTATTTAGTCTAATCAAGATTTTGCATTAATTAATGCCAATGAAAATACTTTTGAAGTCTTACTTTGCAAATAGTACATTCAAAAAAATGTATTCGCAAAATAGAAGTCTTCTACTTCCAAGTTGAAAGTAGATTGGTCTTCATTTCTTCTAAATTGGACCAATATAACAAAAGCTCTTTTTGAAGCACTTTACAATAAAGAGTGGACTATCCTTTCTATTAAGTATACTCCTATAACTATCTATGTGGCTCTAAAGTATTTGTGAAATACTTGGATAAGAAAAAAAAAAAACATGTTTTGCTAAAGCTTGGAAAAATAATTATCTTTATTTTAGGAGTTTAATTACATCTTGAGTTGAAGATTAATATTCATCTTTCAAATTATATTGAAAAGTTTCTACTAAAGATTGATAAGAGGTACAAATTTGTCTCTTTTATTTTTTTGAAAATACAACAAGAGAGATATGTGCACATGAAAGTTCATAAAGAACTTGTGTATATTATCAACATATTGTCACAGACATAAATATTTAACGAAATAAGAAGTGTTAGGTAGAAAATAAATGTAAGTAGATTTGATATTATTTTGCGACATAGCTTCTTAGAAGCTTCATAAATACATATTTGACTTTAGACATGTTTGTAGTTAATTGATAGGTTAAAAACTTGGCGAAGAAGTTAGCCAGACATCACACGTATTAGTAGATTGTGGAACAAACTAAATATGTGGTGCACATATAAGAAACTTATGTAATAAGTTAGATATATGTATTACAGATCCTATGTCATGGACATAATCATGTAAGCTAGTAATTACATATACAAATAGGTAGAAGTAAGTAAAAGTAGATAAAAATAAGTTAATTCTATAGTATTTAATATGAAAGCTTCCTAGAAGCTTCATAGACGTTACTTTGACTTCATAGGAATCTTTAATTGACTTTTTGGATTAGAAACGTGGTCAATAAGTTGGCCATGTGCCACACATGTTGTTAGCTTGAAGATCAAGCTAACTTTGTGGCCCACACGTAGAAAAACTTGCCTTGTAAGTCAAGGCATGTGTTCTACAAAGTCAATACATATTGGAGGTCCTATAGAATGTCACCACATAGCCCCTAGTTAAATAGTATATATATAGAGACAAGAGTGAAGGCTTCTTCACTCTTGTCAACTCCTTTCTTGCTTCCAGTTTAGTTTCAAGGGTCTCTAGTTTTCTTGTCTTTTGGCAATAGCCATTCCAGTTTCTCTTTCAATATACATACTTGTTTATTTATACTTTGTTACATTTCTTTGAGTGAAGGCTCACTTGTCTAAATTGTTTTTTCATCAAGTTCTTATCCTTGACAGATTGACAAGAGTACACCTACAAAATCAGAACTTTGTCTAATCTTGATTAAGAGTGGATTACCCCTTTTTCTTAATAAGATATAAGCATATTAGAAGTTGCGGATTACCCTCTTCTAAACTGATATTGTCCTTAGTATTTTCTTTGTCCGCAAGTCCTCTCTTCTATTTGTCTTGAGCGATATTAGACATCTTCTCTATTCTAAGTGTTATCATGGCAGAATTTCTTGAAATGAAGAGTGCAATGGCACAAATGCAAGAGCAATTGAGGGAGTTAATGCTTGCGATGCATCAACTCAATTTACCAATACAAGGAGCAACAAGATTGGCAGGAAGTGAAGATATAGAAATGGTTGGAGCTGCTTCAATATCTGCACCAAACCATGTCCTTTCTCCTATAGTAGAATGCCCTTCAAATGTTAGAGAACCAAGAATTGCCCTACTCGAGAAGTTTGATGGCACTAGATCTAAGTTTCAAGGATTTATTAATGAAGTGCAACTTGTGATTGAACTTCAACCCCAAAGCTATCCAACTCCAAGATCACAAGTTAGATTCATTAGTACGCTTCTTTCAAGTTCAGCACTATCGTGATTTTCATCTTTTCTTGAATGACGAGATCCAATATTGGATAATCTAGAGGCTTTTTTGGCAGAGTTTCGATCCATGTATGGAGAACATGATGCAATTCGTGTTGCAACCAATAAGATCCGTATTTTATGACAAGACAATCGATCAGTAACGTTATATGCTTCACAATTTTGACAACTTACAACTGATATCAAGTGAGATGATGCTGCACTTATTAGCCAATTTCTCTACGGATTACAATATGAGGTAAAAAAATTAATGCTCAACTTACCTAATCCTCAAACATTGAGTCAAGCAATTGACTTTGCTGTGAAGTGCGACAACCGCCTTTTTGAATTCCGATCTGAGAATCGTACAAGTTGACCTCACGTTACTATAATTCAATGGCAACACCAACACCTCTTCAGCACATACATTTGGAAGTAGACGATATGCAAATTGATGCAATACGTTTCAAACCTCTTATTGAGCAATAAAAGAGTCGTCGTCGTCAAGAAGGATTATGTTTATATTGTGGAGAACCAAAGCACACTGCTCAACATTGTCCAAAGAAATGACACAATCACAAAATGAGGAGTATGGTTGTGAAAGAAGACAATATGTCAGAAAACGAGTTTGTCCAGCTATAATAGGGACCGTGCAGCTGGAACCTTGCACAACATCTAGTAAAGGTCCTATTCTCTCCTCAGAACCCTCTCCTTGTTTTACATTAAATGTTATTTCAGGACCTAAACATTACAATGTCTCTGCCTTGTTAGATTCAGGAGCCTCTGCGTGTTTTTTAGATGAAGAATTTACTAAAAGACATAGCATATCTTTAGTAAAGAAAACTAAATCTGTTCATGTAGAAGTCATAGATAGTCGTCCATTGTCTTCTAGAGATATTATTCACGAAACCCTTCTTATAGAAATAATAATCAATAGTCATAATAGTTTTGTAGTATTTAATATCTTTTGATCTTCATCTAATCCAATCATTTAAGATTTATCGTGGTTAGAAAAATACAACCCTCAAATAGATTGGATTTCTCGAACTCTTACTTTCTCTAAAAGTATAACTAACAGTGTAGTTAATCAAGTAGAGAGTCATAAGTCCAGTTCAATTAAACCCGTATTTATAGGTACAAAAGCTTTCTTGCATGCTGCTAGGAAAGAATCACCATATATTATTTATGCTACACCCGTTTCTACTGGTGAAAAGACTTCAAGTGGCATTCCAAGCCAATATCAAGAATTTCAAGATGTATTTGAAAGAAAGAATGTGGATATACTCCCGAAACATCGTCCCTATGATTGTTCAACTGACCTTCAAGAAGGACTAC